CCTGGGCCAGACATGCCTGTGGCACTAGTGGAGGTGAAGGTGGGAAGTGATCTGGCTGGGACATATTTAAGAGACTGTGCTGACAGGAACTGCTGACGGATTGGATGTGTGATAGGGAGGACGGAGAAATCAAGGATGAACTTGAGGTTTTGGCCTCAGAACACTCGCTGACTGAGTTTTATTGTCTTTATTGTAACCATTGCCATCAAGTCGATTCTGACTCATAGTGACCCTATAGGACAGAAAAGAACTGCCCCGTAGAGTTGCCAAGGCTGTAATCTTTACGGGAGCAGACTGCCACATCTTTCTCCCATGGAGTGAATCGTGGGTTCGAACTGCCAACCTTTTGGTTAGCAGCCGTGTGCTTAACCACTGTGCTACCAGGGCTCCTACTGGGGAGTGGGGGTGGTATTTGGGGAGTGAAAAATCAAGTTAAGTTTGAGATCCCTGTTGGACATCCCACTGAGCATGGCATAGAGAAAGGGCTCAAGTACATATTTGTTAAATGAGTGAGGAGTGGACGGATGGTCAGGTGGATGCCTTTATTTTATTTTTATTTCAAAACTTCTCATGTCACTTGGATAAACACAATATACACACAAGCAAAACAGTACTATATGCGTTATTTTTATCATCTCAATGAAGTACAGCCAGAATGCCACTTAGAAGCAAGGATGGTGAGACTTCGTCTTGCTTACTTGCTTACTTTGGACTTACTGGTCATGAGGAAAGACCAGTCACTAAAAAAGGACATCCTGTTTGGTAAAATAGAGAGGGTCAGTGAAAACGAGGGAAACCCTCAATGAGATAGACTGACATGGTTGCTGCAACAACGGGCTCAAAAATACCAACGACTGTGAGGATGGTGCTCGACCGGGCAATGTTTCCGTCTGTTACACGTAAGTTTGCCATGAGTGGGACCTGGCACAACGGACTTGACTGCAACTAACAACAACAAATCCTTACTTATATACTTACAGAAAGTTAAGAGTGCTCTCATCCAGCCAACTGAAGTTACAGATTTTGGTTAAAATAGCAGATTCTCGACTGGCACAATGGATCTGGGGCTGCTTTCCAGAATAATCTAGCCAGGCCTAGGTTCATTAGGTTGAACTCCTTTTCGTAGTCAGGCTCTACCTGCTTACTTTTTTTTTTTTAACCCATTTTTTAAAACCACAATTTTTCCCTTTTCAAAAATGTGGCTATAATTTGTATACAGTAAAATGTGCAGATCTTAAGTGTGCAGATTGATTTCACATATGTATATTCCAGTGTGGGGAGTCCCTGGGTGGTGCAAATGGTTAACATGCTCAGCTGCTAACCGATTCAAGTCCACCCAGAGGCACCTTGGAAGAAAGGCCTGGTGATTTATACTTCTGAAAAATCAGCTACTGAAAACGCTATGGAGCCCAGGTCTACTCTGACACACACCAGCTCACCATGAGTTGGAATTGACTCAATGGCAAGGGCTTTATATTCTTGTGTAACCACCACCCAACTGAAGAGACAGAACATTGCCATCCTTCTTCAGGCCCCTTCCAGTCATTCACCTCTATCTTGATCTGTGTAGTTTAGTTGTGCTTGTTCTTGAACTTCATGTAAATGGAACCATACAGTATGTGCTCTCTGTGTCTGTCACTCATATCTCTGCTGAGTTGGCCTTTAGACCAAGGGTCCCCACCCTTGGCTGCTCATTGGATTCCCCTGGGAAGCTTTAAAAATTACTGCTGCCTGGTCCCACCCCCAGAGACTTGGATTTAATTAGTCTGGGGTGTGACCTGACATTGGATTATTGAAGCTCCCCAGGTAAGGGAGACCCAGGTGTCAGGAAAGGAGTGTGGGTCTCCCCACCCAGGGTGACAGCCCTCTTGGGGAAAGATTTTCAGGGGCTCTTGTTAAACATGGCACTGAAGAGAAATTCAGAGCAGAAAAATAGGCTACAGTATCAAGGATTCTGGTCGCTGGAATCACGTGGAGCTGAAAAATTCTCCCAAAGGCAGGGATGAGCCACAGGCCTGGGCCACCAGGTGGGTTTCCTGCCTCAATGCCCTGAAGGGTGGTCCTCTGGCCTTGGAGGGTTTGGCTCCTTGGAGAAGGTGGTGGGGTCACAGCAGTTAGTCCCCCTGAGTCATGGGCCCAGATGGTGGTCCCGGAGCCCCTAGAGGTGACCACATGGGAATGAACACATGAAAGTGCTGATGGGAAGTTCAGTAGGATTGCTGGAACAAGGTAGGGTGGGGAGTCCCTGGTAGGCTTGCAGGGCTGTTTCCAGGAGGCGGCAAGGTGGGGGCTCCTCCAACAACTTGGTCAGCTTGTGCCCTCCAGATAATGGCACTGGAAAGGCCCCTTGGGATGTCCTAAGAGCATCTCTAACTTGAACTGTAATGCAGTTCAGGAAAGAACAGTAAATGCGGCTGCCCCACCCAAGGTTGGGACCTGCTCTGAGGTGCCATGCTACATCACCCTGCCCTGGGCCGCCCTCCCTCCCCACTCCAGACAGCTGCAGACTAGACCCCTGATGTTTCAACTGCGAGCTCCTTCACTTGGCTGCCCACGTCCTCTGGGCCAAGGCTCGCTGAGCACCAATTCTGAACTGGGCACACCAGACACTGTCCCGTGGGGAGAAGACATTAAACATCACTGGTAATCATGGCACTTTTGGTTAAGTGCTTGGTGGAGGACAGAGAGTGATGAAAGGATGGAGTATCAGCTGCAGGGACTTTAAACAAGGGCCGCCTGCCTGCCTGCCTGCCTGCCAGGCGTCCCTGGGTGGTGCAAATGGTTAACGTACTTGACCAATAACTGAAAGGTTGGAAGTTCGAGTCCACTCAGAGTCACCTCGGAAGAAAGGCTTGGCGATTTATTTCAAAAAAACCAGCCATTGCAAACCCTATGGAGCACAGTTCTACTCTGACACACATGGGGGTGGCATGGGTCGGAAAGACTCAAAGGCAACTGGTTTTCTGACCCTGCAATCGGGGGCTCACAGCCCAGTAGGGAGGCTCCACAGTGGAAGGGCATGAGACCTGTGTGGGGCGTTGGGGAGTAAGACAGAGGAGGGGACTTTTGAGCTGAAAACTCCTGAGATGGAATATGATTTCACCAGCTAGAGAAGGGAGGGAGGCAATTCCAGGCAGAGAGCATTGAGGAAACAAAGGTGTGGCTGCGGAGTGTGGGGGATGTGTGCAGACAGGAATGTACTGGGCCTCAGAGGGCCAGAAGCCAAGTGGCAGGAGATGGGGCGGGATCTTGAAGGGTCTCCTGCAGGGGTGAAGCCAGAGGGATGCCCCAGGCTCACAGGGGCCCAGCTCTCAGCCCCCAGCGCTGCGACTCCGCAGCTCTGGCAGGCTGTGTGGAGAAGTGGGCAGAGCCTGGGCCTGGGAGTCAGAAGGCCTGGACTCTGGCCCTGCCTCTGCCACCATGTAGTGCCATCTCTTCTGGCCTCAGTTTCCTCGCCTGTAAAACGGAAATAAATAGTAATACTAATAATTCTAGCTACCGTTCACTGAGGCATCACTTCCTGTCAGGCACTCCTCTAAACATTTTACAAGTATTGTTTTATCAAATCCTCACATCATGATGGAAAAATTTGGGAACAGATAAGGATGATGGTTGACATGATGAACATAATTAATGCCATTAAACTGTGCATGTGAAGACGGTTGAAATGGCAAATGTTTTCATATAGCTGTTCTGTGTGTGTGTGTGAAAATATATGCTAACTCACAATTTCTACATGTGCGATTCAGTAACATTGTTGACATTCTTCAAGTGGTGCAACCATTCTCACTATCCTTTTCCAATTCATTCCCCCACCATGAACAAACTCTATGCCCCCTAAGGGAAAACCTCCTCTTCCCCTCTCCCTCCCACCCCTGGTAACCACTAATAATCTTTGGTTTCAATACATGTTTGCTTACTTCATGTAAGTGAGATTGTACAGTGTTTGTCCTTTTGGGACTGACTGATTTCGCTCAGTACAATGTTTCCAAGTTTCATCCATGTTGTGGTTGTCACATACACATTTACCACAATGGGAACAATAAAATCCTCACACTGGCTCTTAGAGGTAGGTTTCATTATCATCTTCATTTCCAGATGAGATAACAGAGGTGCAGCAAGGTTAAGCAACTTACCCCGGGCCACACACACATCTAGTAAGTGGCAGAGCTGGGGCCTGAACCCAGGCAGGCTGACGGCTGACCCAGGCTCTTCACCATTGCATAGTCACAGCTAGGGCCGGCTCCCGGCTCAGGGCTGCTTGTTCTTTCATGCAACAGAGATTTATTGAACATCTGCTGTGTACCAGGCACTGGGCTGATGCTGGGGGCACTGCAGTGAATAAGACAGACAAGGTCCCTGCAGCCACGAAGGGGACATTCTGATGGAGGAGACAGACATGGACAAGGAAGCACATCTACAATGAGATCATTTCAGCCTGCAATATGCGTCACGGAGTAAATAAAACTGTAATAAAGAGTGACTTTAATGATAGTAACACAAGGTACTCAATGTAGGTCAAGAGGTGTGCTAAGTTCTTTATATGTGTTGACTCACTTAATCCTATACCAACCCTATGGAGTGGGTACTATTATTTACCCCATTTTATGATGAGGAAGGAGCCCTGGTGGTGCAGTGGTTAAGTGTTGGGCTGCTAACCAAGAGGTTGGCAGTTTGAGTCCACCAGCCACTCCTTGGAAACCCTATGGGGCAGTTCTACTCTGTCCTATAGGGTTGCTGTCTATGCTCGACAGCAATGGGTTTATGATGAGGAAAGTGAGGCACAGAGAGGTTGAGTAACTTGTCTGAGGTCACAGAGGGGGAGGAGCCAAGTGCAAAGGTAAAATTCACAGGACACAGTAGGTGTGAGGTTGTTTTGAGAGCTGTTTAGGGGTTCAGCTGTCGGGGAGAGTATTTGTGCTCGGGTTTCCCAGCAGGGGGCAGCAGAGACAGCTGGCAGGTGTGAGGGGCTGGGTACAAGCGGCGTGTTTGTGTCCTAGGAGGCCAATGGGCCTGCGGACGCCTACGCTGCGATCGCCCAGGCCGACAGGCTGACGCAAGAACCCGAGAGCATCCGCAAATGGAGAGAAGAGCAGAAGAAACGGCTGCAGGAGCTGGGTGAGGGCGGGGCTGAGGCTGGAGCTGGACGGGAGTGGGAGTGGGGCTTAGAGTATATGGAACCCCGCACTGCGTAGTGGTTAAGAGCTTGACTGCTACCCCAAACGTCGGCAGTTCGAATCTACCAGCCGCTCCTTGGAAACTCTATAGGGCAGTTCTACTCTGTCCTGTAGGGTCGCTATGAGTCGGAATCGACTTGACGACAGCGGGTGAATGGGTTTAATGCGGCAACTGGGTGAGGGCAGCTGGGGCTGCCTGCAGGGGCTGAGGGGAGCGGAGCAGCCAGGGCAGCCAGCCTGTGGTCCCTACTGCAAAGCTGCCACTTACTCTCCTGCTGGGGCTGCAGATGCTGCTTCTAAAGTCATGGAACAGGAGTGGCGGGAGAAGGCCAAAAAGGACCTAGAGGAGTGGAATCAGCGCCAGAGCGAGCAAGTGGAGAAGAACAAGATCAACAACCGGTGAGAGGGGCTATGGGGCCATGAGAGGGGCTATGGACAGTGAGAAGAGGTATAGGGACAATGAGAGGAGCTATGGGATCGGGGACTAACTGGACGATGGGTCATTTGGTGGCAGGAGTCTGGAAGAAGCTGAAACCACCAAGGGTACTTCTGGGGGTGCCTTTGGGGTTCAGAGCCCTTTGGAGCTGACACGCAGTTGAGCCTTCACCTCCTCTCTACAACAGAGAGAGAGCAGAGTCTGTCAGTCAGTAGGAAGGTCCAAGGGCCCCAGAGTGTGAAGCCGAGCGTCCCGGGCCTAGCAGCCAACAGCTCCATCAGAGAGAGCACAGGCCTGACTGGAGGGAGGGGGAGAGGGAAAGAACCAGCCTGCTACAGGTGTTTGCTGCTGGTAGAAATGACACCAGTTCAACCCAGTGTGATTAGAGGCTAAGAGGGAATCAGTGGCCCAAATAACTGAAAGGCCAGGAACAGGACTGCAGGCACAGCTGGCTCAGCATCTCAAATAAAGCCAGTCGGACTCACTGTCCCTCTGCTCTCAGCTCTGTTTGCCCCTGGGTCAGTGACATCCTAGGACACACATCCCTGATATGGGGCAAAGCTGGCTGCCAGCAGCTCCAGACTTCTGCCCCATCCTCTCGGCCACCTTAGTGAAAACAGTATCTTGTTCCCAATAGCTCTGACCAAAGTCCTAGGCTTGACCCTCATTGGTCTGGCTGAGGTCATGGGCCCATCCCAGGTCCACTGACCATAGCCAGAAGGGGCTCTCTGATGGGCCCAGATGGGGTGAGAGCCCCCTTCCCCAGGCTGTGCCTAGAGTCAGTCCCATCTAAACCTCAGGGGCTGAAGTAGGGCAGACGGTTTCTGCAAAGGACTATCAGGGTGCCCTTCCCAGGAGAAGGGGATGGATGCTGGTTAGGCAAAGATAGCAGATGTCCACCACATAACATTTTAGTGGAAATAGTCTTCTACTGGACGCTTCCTTTGAGGCTGTGCCCTTCATGGTACAAATCCTGCCAAGGGTGGACGTCCAGTCTGAAACTGCTGTGTGCCAAGCTCTGGGTGGCACTGGAGAGAGGCAGATGAGGAGGACCCAGTCTGTGCCGTCAGAGATGTCGGAGGGGAGAAACACATGTGGACAGTTGGACTCTGAGACCTCCGTGGGGACGTGGGCTTTGGTAGATGACTAGCTCCTCAGGAAAAGAAAAAGGGCAGTGGGTGGAGGAGGGCATTCCAGACCAGGGAACAGCGTGGTAGAGAAACGACTCGGTGTCTTGGGCAACAGAGAGTCAGCAGAGCGCAGCAAGTTGGGAGAGAGAGAGCAGGAAGGGGGGCATCACACAGTACAGGGCACAGTACAGGGCCTTGACCTATGGGACTGGGCAGAAACATGGGCAGTGGGAGCCACTGGAAGCTTGTGAACAGGAGTAATATGATCAGGGCTGAGTTTTCTAAAAGGCACTGTGGCTGAGACAAGGATCCCTGCTCTCCTCTCTGGGGCTGTGGATAGTTCCTGAGCCTTCCAGAACCTTGCTTCCTAACACCTCTCCTACTGGAGGTACTAACGCTGTCTCTCTTTCTCTTTAACCCTTTGCCTGCCTGTCCATCTTGCCTTCCTGTCTCCCTCCTCCCCCACCACCTAAACCTTCCCCTAACCTTTCCCTCAAGGATCGCTGACAAAGCCTTCTACCAGCAGCCAGATGCTGACATCATCGGCTACGTGTATGTGTCTCCTCTGTTCCTCTGCTGGGGGAGCTGGCGGGGTGAGGGCCCCAGGGTATAGCTCGCACAGTTTCTTGAGTCTCCTGCTTTTAGGGTACAAGTGAGTGTGGCTGGGCTTGGGCAATGATTCCAGCAGGAGGGGACACCAGGGTGGGTGCAGGCACCAACCTACACCTCCATCCCTCCAGCACACGTGTATTGAGCATCTACTCTGCCTGAAGGCAGCTTTGCTAAATCAGAGCCCTGGAGGGTGAGCAAAGAAGAGACATCTTTAGGTGGGAGGGGCAAGGGCAAAAAATGTTGTTGTTAGGTGCCCTCGAGTCGTTTGCAACTCACAGCAACCCTATGTACAGCAGAACGAAACACTGCCCGTTCCCGTGCCATTCTCACAATTGTTGCTCTTTGAGCCCACTGTTGGAGCCACTGTGACAACTCACCTCTTTGAGGGTCTTCCTCTTTTTCACTCACCCTCTACTTTACCAAGCATGATGTTCTTCTCCAGCAACCAGTCCCTTCTGTTAACATGTCTAAAGCAGATGAGATGAAGTTGCCATTCTTGCTTCTAAGGAGCATTCTGGCTGTACTTCTTCCAAGACAGATTTGTTTGTTCTTCTGGCAGTCCATGGTATATTTAATATTCTTTACCAACACAATAATTCAAAGGCATCAATTCTTCTTTGGTCTTCCTTATTCATTGCCCAGCTTCGCATGTATATGAGGCGATTGAAAATACCATGGCTTGGGTCAGGCACACCAGTCCTCAAAGTGACATCTTTGCTTTTTAACAGTTTAAAGAGGTCTTTTGCAGCAGATTTGTCCAATACAACATGTCACGTGATTTCTTGACAGCTGCTTCCATGGGCATTGATTCTGGATTCAAGTAAAATGAAATCCTTGACAACTTCAATCTTTTATCCGTTTAACATGATGTTGCTTATTGGTCCAGTTGTGAGGAGTTTTGTTTATGTTGCACTGTAATCCATACTGAACACTGTAGTCTTTGATCTTCATCAGTAAGTGCTTCTCTTTCAGCAAGCAAGGTTGTGCCATCTGCATATCTCAGGTCGTTAATGAGTCTTCTTCTAATCCTGATGCCCTGTACTTCTTCATATAGTCCAGTTTCTGAGATTATTTGCTCAGCATACAGATTGAATAAGTATGGTGGAAGGATACAACCCTGACACACACCTTTCCTGATTTTAAACCACATGGTATCCCCTTGTTCTGTTTGAACAACTGCCTCTTGATTTATGTACAGGTTCCTCATGAGCACAACTAAGTGTTCTGGAATCCTCATTCTTTGCAATTGTATCCATAATTTGTTATGATCCACACAGTCGAATGCCTTTGCATAGTCAATAAAACACAGGTAAACATCTTTCTGGTATTCTTGGCTTTCAGCCAACATTCGTCTGACATCAGCAGTGATATCCCTCTTTCCATGTCCTCTTCTGAATCCAGCTTGAATTTCTGGCAGTTCCCTGTTGATGTACTGCTGCAACCATTTTTGAATTATCTTCAGCAAAATTTTACTTGTGTGTGATATTAAAGATAGCGTTCGATAATTTCCACAGTCTGTTGGATTACCTTTGTTTGGAATGGGCACAAATATGGTTCTCTTCCAGTCAGCTGGCCAGGGAACTGTCTTCCAAATTTCTCGGCATAGACAAGTGAGTGCTTCCAGCACTGCATCTGTTTGTTGAAACATCTCAATTGGTATTCCATCAATTCCCGGAGTCTTGTTTTTTGCCAAAGCCTTCAGTGCAGTTTAGACTTCTTCCTTCAATGCCATCGGTTCTTTATCATATGCTACCTCCTGAAATGGCTGAATGTTGACCAGTTTTTGGTACAGTGACTCTGTATTCCTTCCATCTTCTTTTGATGCTTTCTGTGTCGGTCAATATTTTGCCCACAGAATGCTTCGCTACTAAAACTCAAGGCTTGAATTTTTTTCTTCAGTTCTTTCAGCTTGAGAAATGCCAAGCATGTTCTTCTCTTTTGGTTTCCTAACTTCAGGTCTTTGAATATTTCATTATAATACTTTACTTTGTCTTCTTGAACCACCCTTTGAAATCTTCTGTTCATCTCTTTCACTTCATTTCTTCCATTTGCTTTAGGTACTCTACGTTTAGAGCAAGTTTCAGAGTCTCCTCTGACATCAGTTTTGATCTTTTCTGTCTTTCCTGTCTTTTTAATGACCTTTTGCTTTCTTCACGTATGATGTCCTTTATGTCATCCCACAACTCGTCTGGTCTTCAGTCATTAGTGTTCAACGCATCAAATCTATTCTTGAGATGGTCTCTAAATTCAGGCAGGACATACTCAAGGTTGTACTTCGGCTCTTGTGGACTTGTTTTAATTTTATTTAGCTTCAACTTGAATTTGCATATGAGCAATTGATGGTCTGTTCTGCAGTCAGCCGCCGGCCTTATTCTGACTGATATTGAGCTTTTCCATCATCTTTTTCCACAGATGTAGTCAATTTGATTTCTGTGTGTTCCATCTGGTGAGGTTCACATGTAAAGTCACCATTTATGTTGCTGAAAAAAGGCATTTCCAATGAATAGGTCATTGGTCTTGCAAAATTCTATCATGCAATCTCCAGCATCGTTTCTACCTGGAATATGAGAGAGGGTCTTATATGTACACCCACTCCTTGCCCCTACCCCTGCCCCAAAGTGTACTGCTCCTCTTCAGAATGTACCTACAGGCTATCTTGGATTCTAGTTCTAGCTCCTCTATTTTCTAGCTATGTGACTTTGGGCAAAGTGACAATGTCTCTGTGCCTCAGTTTCTCCACCTGTCAAATGGGGATAATAATAGCACATCCCTCACCTGGAAGGATTAAATTAATACAACTTTGGCCTGAGATTGTCATAGCCATTCCCAGACCACCACAGGTCCCTCTCATATGTCTCTGGTTTGGGATCTAGTTGGTCCTGTGACTCATCTAGACTGGGGATAGCAAGCAGGCTTCATCTTGTGCCAGCCCCAACTGATTGGCAGTGACAGCCAGGAGGTGAAAGGGTGGTGTTATAGATCCTGACGATGAAGGAAGAAATGCACTGATTAAGGAGTGATGTCGGCCGTGTGCATGTGCCAAGGCTTTGCTGTTCCTGCCGCAGCCGGTTCTCTCCCTGGCACGCCCTCAGCAGCCCTTGCTGCTATCTGGGCTGGGCACACCAGGACAATGACCCTCCTTCTTCCTTCTTTCCTCCCACCTGTCCCATACTTACTGGTCCCTACCCCATGCCAGTTTCCATTTTAGAAGCTGGTCAAATATGAATAAGATGCACTGTCTGTACCCCCTGAGTTGCTCCTAGTCTGGAGTATGTTGTGATGAGAGCCATGTGGAAGGACACGGTGTGCTCTGGGGGAGCCAGGGCCAGCGTCAGGGATGCAGGACCGTTGGCTGGACCTTCAGGTGTGAGAAAGACTTTGTGTGGTGGGCAGAATAGGAAGAGAAGGGCATTCCAGGTGGAAGCAGCAGCTAAGGCAAAGGCACAGAGACAGGAAGTACCTAGCAGCCTGCAGTGGCTGGAGGGCTGAGGTGGGAGGTCAGCTCGGGGCCAGTTCCTAAGTGTCTGGAGTGCCAGGCTAAGCTTGGACTTGGCCTTGAAGGCAGTGGGAGCCATGGGAGGTTCTAACAGGGAGTGAGGATAGCAGATGTGCACCTGTGCTGGGGAACACCATGGTGGGGGGTGTGTTTCACTGCTCCCATCGTACCTGAGGACATGGCCCAGGGAACACCCTAGAGAGCCCTAAAGCCCTGAAGCGAGGGAGAGCCTAACCAGCACTTTAATCTGCCTGGGATCCTGTTAAAATGCAGATTCTGGCTCAGTAGGACTGAGGTGGGACCCAGAGTCTGCATTTCTAACCAGTTCTAAGGTGATGCTGCTGCTGCTGTTGGCCCGGAGTGCGGCAGTGAGGATAGAGGGGGGCCTCCTGCCCCTGAAGGGACAGGCCAGCTCCCCCCATCTCCATTTGCCATCTGACCCCACACAGTATTGTACAGTGCCCCAAGCCTGCTCATACTTGTCACCTCATTAGATCCCCAGGACACCTGCCCGGTGAGACAGACTGGCAGGGTGGAGGCTCTGATCCTTGTTTAGTTTGGGAAGTGGGCACACAGCAGGTCAGCATAATCACTAGGTAGGTGCCAGGTCACCTGATCTGGACCCAGTCCATCCTCAGCACAGCACCTGCAGGGCCCTCTGCCATCAGCCAGTGCCTGGGACATGGCAGAACTGGTTCTGCTTGAACAGAACCAGTTGAAGGGACCCTGCTGGGCAAACAGGGCACAGACCCAGCCCTCCTCATCCAAGAATCCATTACTGTCTTTCCCTCAGTGACTCCCATGTTTAGGTTTTGTCCACTAAACTGTATTGACCATGCTTTGTTTCTCCATTGCTCCTTATCAGTGATTTCTATAACTGTCAGGCAGAACTTCTGATGAAGAGACCACCAGTTTTCATCCTGACTTGATTCCAACAAAAGCGAAGACCAATGGAGCACTCCCCAGGCGGCAGCTCAATAGAGATCATTAGAGACTTCAGTTAGTTAGGTGGTCTGTCAGTGTCCTATCTCTGTCAAGTTTCTGGAAATGTTGAAAATAGCTGAGGTACTATCATTAGTTCCTTCCAAGGGCCTTTAGGTGTCAGGAGCCCCAGGTTGGAAACTCCTGATGGAGAGGTAAGGAACAAAGAGTGCTGTGGCTAGGGTGGGGGCAAGAGTGACAAGGGAAGACCTGAGGAGGTGAAACTTGTGCTGAGACCTGAATGACAAGAAGCAACAAGTCATAAGAAGGTCTGGAGGAAGAGTACTCCAGGTAGCAATGACAGCAAGTGCAAAGGCCCTGAGGCAGAACCAAGTTAGTCTTCCTCTGATGCCAAGGCTGTTCCTGGAGGGTCTGAGGTCAGAGGGCCCAGGGGTGGAGAGGAGACCTCTGGACAAAGCAGCCTTGCTTAATGAGAGCAGAGCATCACTGATGCAGGGGGAGGGGGCAGCTGGGAAACCTCTGTCCTCTCTCTCCCTGCAGGGCATCTGAGGAGGCTTTTGTGAAGGAATCCAAGGAGGATACTCCAGGCACTGAGTGGGAGAAGGTGGCCCAGCTGTGTGACTTCAACCCCAAGAGCAGCAAGCAGTGCAAAGACGTGTCCCGCCTGCGCTCGGTGCTCATGTCCCTGAAGCAGACACCGCTGTCCCGCTAGGTGCCTGCCTTTGGCAGCACGGCCACAAAGCATGGGTGGGGCAGGGTGAAGGAAGGGCAGCTGCTTTGGGTGATGGGGGGACACTGCCCCCAGCAGCTGCTACATACAGCCTATTCCGTTCCTCCCCATCTCCCAGGGCTGGGAAGGGGACCCCTCACCCTTCACCCTCATCCCCTCCTGGCGCTACGGCCCAGCCCATCACACCTCCTGTCAGTCCACTCAGTTGTGACTGTCCCTCCTGATGTATTTTTTTCTTGGCTTAAACGGTGTGTTGTTAACTCTTTTTACACTTATTTATTATCATTCTCATTTCTCTGGAAGCCACACCTGGTGTCAGGGCTCAGTTTGTACTCAGAACTTTCCCAACTCAGGATCTTGAGAGGTGAGGATATTCCCCTGGAAACCCAGGAGCTCCCAGCCGGAAGTGGGTGTCTCAATTTATCTGTGCCTATTGTCCCCAACCACAGGAGGAAAGAACCTATCATCACAAAACGCTTTCACAACCTTGATCTCTTCTGTCCTGTGACAAGCCTGTGAGGTAGGGATTCTGTTATATGGCCAAGGCGCCCAGAGGGTAAATGGCTCAAAGTAGGAGGGAAGAAGAAGCCTGGGTGAGAGGCTGGAGAAGGTAGCCTTGCCAGACCCTCTTCCTCAAAGCTTTTATGAGATAGGAGGTCTGGTGGGACTGGCGGGACCCTCCAGATGTGGATGGCCTACCGCTCTGCACGTTTCACCCCCTCCTTCAGCTGTGTCCCTCCGTGGATTTGGTATAAACAACCACTGACCACACCTTCTTCCCCTTCAGCAGAGGTTGCAGTCTACATCCAAGCCCTTGTAACCTGCACAGTGTTTAAAAAGATTTGAGTAATTGCCAACACTTAAAAATTATATCACCAAAAAAAAAAATCTGCATTTCTGGCTTGAAAATCAGAAACTCTTGCATCAATGGGTCCAAATTCCTGTGTGGTAATCAGCCAGATAAATAGTGGTCATCCTCTTTAGAGGACCATATCCTTGTGCCTTGGGGCCCAGGGTCACCACCCAACCCTGGGAGACCAGGGTGGAGTAAGACTATTACACCCCTTCACTTAGCAACCTAGCCTGTGTCACAGGGCTTAAGAGTGGGTGTATCTCTTCACTCTTTTTTGTTTCTGCCAGCTTGAAGCTTGTGTTGAAAATGGTGGAGTCACAATATGGAAGGAGCTTTTGAGTCCCTAAGTCAACACTTGAGGAACACTGAACGCAGACAGGAATACCTATTTGAGACTTTACATGAGTGAGGAACTCATGGTGTAAAAATGGTGTAGCCTCTGACCTCCTTTAACTTCAGGACGGGGAAGGAGAGTCAAGATCAACATCAGCCCAAGGCTGATTCCTATGAGGTGGAGGTCAGTCCTACCTCTACCCTCCAACCTTTTTACCAATTCTGACACCAGCTGTCCCTCCCACGGCACTGTCTACTTCTCTGCTGGGTTCGATAATTTGTTGCAGTGGCCACACAGAACTCACGGACTATATTCACAGTTATGGGGTTTGTCTTAGTCATCTAGTGCTACTCTAACAGAAATACCAGGAGTGGATGGTTTTAACAAGAAGTTTATTATCTCACAGTCCAGTAGGCTACAAGTCCAAATTCAGGGCGTCAGCTCCAGGGGAACGCTTTCTCCATTGGCTCTAGAGGAAGGTCCGTGTCATCAGTCTTCTTTTGGTCTGGGAGCTTCTCTGCGCAGCAACCTCAGGTCCAAAGGACGTGCTCTGCTCCCAGCACTGCTTTCTTGGTGGTATGACGTTCCCATGTGTCTCTGCTCACTTCTCTTTTATATCTCAAAAGAGACTGGATTAAGACACTATCTAATCTTTTAAACCTCATCAGCATAACCTCATCACAGTGATAGAATTTACAACACCTAAGGAGATCACATATAACCTCATCATAGTGAGTTTACAACACATAAGGAAATCACATCAGATTACACAATCACACAATACTGGGAATCATGACCTAGCCAAGTTGCTACACACATTTTTGGGGCAACACAATTCAATCCATGACAGGGTTTATTAGGGAAGTAACAGGTTCAACTCAGTATCAGGATCAGGAAGCATGTAGCCGAAGTCTGGAATGCACCCCTGAAGTGGAGAGCACATCCCTCCCTTCTTCCCTGCAGGACAGCCGTTTCAGCTCCTCTTGGCAGTGCAAGCAAGCAGGCCCTTCTCTCTGCTGTGCACGCCCCCTGAGGACAGGCCTCCTCTTGGCCCTGGTCTCTGCCCTGCTCAGGGAAGTGTTAAAAAGCTCTTTAGCTCCACCAATAAGTGCCCAGAGGCACCCTACTCCACTAGGAAGCCTCCTGCCCGAAGGCTCTCAGCCCCCTCTACTCGAGGGGTCAGCATGCCCACTGCTGCCGCCATGCTCCATGGGTCTGGAAGCCCACCAGGCAGTCTTGTTCCAGTCTCCTGCCTCCAGTTCTCTGCTGCCACTTCTCGCGGTCTCCAGTGTTATAGCTCTGTCTCCTGGGGTCTAGGAGTTTCTCAGCACAGGGACCCTGGATCCAAAGGACATGCTCTGGTCCTGGCTCTTCTTGATGGTAGTCAGGTCCCCTTCTGCCTGTGGGATTTGCTCCCATTAAGCCTAGCAGGATGGTAAAACTGACCAATCCCTTGTTAGAGTTCCATATACCTTACTGGCATGGTCCCACCCCCCAACAAGGGTTCCATGCACCTTATTTGCATTATTAGCAGGCTGGCCAATCCCCTTGGTGGGTCACAAGCACCTTACTTGAATAGTCCCACCCAATCATTGTATGACAATCACAAGACCATGGCTATAAGGGACATATTACAGTAATTCACTATATCGCACACGGGTTGCCTCTCTTTTAGCGTTTGCTCAGGTCCCCTGGCCTCATGTCTTCCATAATCCTAAAACCCTAAGTACACAAACCATTGAAGAGCTTTTAGACTATGCTGTTTCCACTATACCAGGCTGTTTCTTTGAGCCTCAGTTTCCTGTTCTGTAAGATACATCGAGCACTGGGAAGGGACCGTCAGGAGGTGGGAATAGAGACAGTTCCTGCCTCTGACAGGACTATAGCACACTGTTTTATGACAGCCTCTTCTGAAGGAAGGTTTTCCTACTGAAAGCTTGGAAAGTATTGGCTAGATCAGTTTTTCTCAAATTACCGAATTATAAGCATCACTCTAGACCTAATGAACTAGTATCTCTAGGCAAAGGACCTTGGAATCTCTTAACAAGCGCCACAGGTCACTGTTACTAGGAAAGTTTGAGAATCACTATGCTAGATGATTTCTAAGGGTCCCTCCAGTCTGAAAACTGTCTCCTCTCCAAACCATGAGTGAGACTGAGAATGAATTCATCACTACAAGTGGATCAGGGTTTATTCAGTAGGGAGTGGAGGAGATAAGGCACAGACAGAAGTATACAACACCCGAACTGAACCGAACCTGGGATTCCGAAAAAATTCTGTTGGTTACACAATCAGGCCGGGCTGGGGGAACCCGCCACTTCCTTCCCCATCAACACTGGGGCCTGTTAGAGAAGATAAGAGGGTAAGACCCCTGGCATGGCGGTGGTTGCTCCTGCGGTGCGAATGATCCCCCGGCGCTTTCAAGGCCCGGCTGGGGGCTCAGTGTCGAGGCTTCATAGCAGATACAGCCAGACCCACCAAGATGGCTGCAACAGTGAAGCCCTGGGCAGCGATCCGGGTGCGCATCATGAGCTGGGAGCGACGGCTTTGGCCCCGGTGGAAGCAGTACAGTCCGTAGCCGAGGGCGGCCGCCGTTCCCAGGCAGCCTGAGGAAGAAACAAATCGGGTGGGGAGCGGCAGGCCCTGCCCCGGACCGCCCCCCCTCCTTGGGCCTTCCCTCCCATGGGCACGGTCTCTGGACAGCAGCCGCAGGTAGAGGGTCCTCCGCGCTCCAGAGTCCGCCCCACCCAGCCCCGGGCTCGCCTCCATCCCAGTTCCCCAGTCCAAGCCGCTGCCCCTGTCCCAGTCAGATTCATCCCCACCGCCCCGCCCCTTCGCCACACTCCGGTCCACTCTCATTCCGGTCCCCCTGGTGTCCCCAGTCATCCCCTAGTTCATTCCCCTCTACATCAGTGTTCTCTCAGTCTACAGTTCCTACAGCACGGGCTTACCTATGGGCACCATTGGGTTCTCGCGGGTCTTGCGAAGGAACTTTTCCTTGAAGCTTTCCGAGTTGCTGTAGACATTAGCGCTAAAACCCTCAATGACCGGGGGCTGCGATAGGTCAAAGGGTTCCTTCGGAGTTACAGGGCCAGGAGTCGCCATGACACAGGCAACCGCTGCAGAAAAAAACAGGGACGCTGAACTCCACCCCCTGACGCCGTCCTAAAATGGGCGGGGGGAAAGCATTTGCTGAACGTTGTACGCAGGCACAATCGCGCGTTGCATTTTGGGGTCCGTACTAATTTACCCGGCACCACTGTCGGAGGACTACATTTCCCACAAAGCCTGCAATCTAGGTTCAGACCCGCCGACAGGAAATCTCTTGCACGTGGGGCTGAGCGTGAGCGGCTGAGAGTCTGAGCTGCCCGTTCTGTGGTCACCGCAATGCCCAAGGCCAAGGGGAAGACTCGGAGGCAGAAGTTCGGTTACAATGTCAACCGGAAGCGGCTGAATCGGAATGCTCGGCGGAAGGCAGCGCCGCGGATCGAGTGGTGAGGGGGTCGGGGTTTGGGAGGCAGCGGGCCTCGGACCGGAAAGGCACGTGATATGACGGATCCGCGGTCTCCCTCTCTCTGCCCGCAGCTCTCATATCCGACATGCCTGGGACCACGCCAAATCTGTGCGGCAGAACCTGGCCGAGATGGGATTGGCCATGGACCCCAACAAGGCCGTGCCCCTCCGTAAGAGAAAGGTACTGACATGGCAGGGTCTCGGCCCTTGCCGCCCCGCCCCTGCCATACTTAGCGGGGCGTCAGAACTTGAGGATGCCCAGTGTTGCCGGGAGGAAACCCCAGGTTTTTGCTGGGCGTGACTCGTATTGGCCAATAAACGAGAGACCGAGGTGGGAGAACAGGAAAGGCACTTTTATCTCGTTGTATAAAGAAAAGGAGTCAGTGGGAGTTGCTGCTGCTGCCAAGACTGCTTGCCAAGGGCGGGCAGGCAAGTTACTTTTAAAGGGGTTTACAAGTAGGGAGTTCATACAAGTTATGTTAGCAACATTCTTGATCGTACTATGCAGGCTCAAGAGGGTTTACTTACAACCTTCAAGCCAAAGCAGCATTCAAATGCGAATCTGGGGGAGGAGCCCAGCAAAGGAGAAGACTTTTTAGTACAACACCGTAGGGGAGGAAGCCAGGTAAAGAATACAGCACTGTGGGGGCTCTGTCTCACCATTGCCTCTATCACTCCTTTCCTGAGTTTGCGACCTCACTATAGTCAGCCACCAAGCTTGCACTGACTGAGGTTGAAGGCCCCTCTACTGCCTTTCCTCTTACCCCGTCTCAAGCACACATTTGAAGGTGGGTTGGAACTTCCCTTTGCCTCCTCCACTCATTTTCTCTCCTGAAATTAACCTGCTTGGGACCCATGACATCTCAATGGTTATTTTCCAAATTTCATCTTTTCTCGCCCTTAACTTTCCTAACAAGGACTCCCCAGAGTTTGGGACCTTTGCTCTTCTTACCCCTCTCCCCAATCATCCAGTCATCCTTAGCTTGAGGTTTTCTAGGGCTGTCTACTCCCCCCCACCCGCAATAAGTCTTTCCTTTTCTAGACCACCTTTTCTAAAACACCACTTTCTTTACTCACTAATCTCTTACTTGCTTTATTTTAATTCATAGCACTTGTAACTGTTGTTGCTGTATGCTGTCAAGTAGATTCCGACTCCTAGCAGCCCTGTAGGACAGAGAACTGCCCCATAGGGTTTCCAAGGCTGTAATCTTTATGGAAGCAGATTGCCACATCTTTCTTCTGAGGAGCAGCTGGTGGTTTCGAACCACTGACCTTTCAGTTAGCAGCCAAGCTCTTAACCACTGCGCTACCAGGGCTCCTTGCACTTGTAACTACTTGATGATAAATATTGTCTATGTCCATCCCCTCCTTATGTTCCTTGAGAACAAGGACTTTGTTTTGTTCCCCACTTAACCCCCAGTGGATCCCTGATGGCATAATGGTTAAGAGCTATGGCTGCTAACCAAAAGGTCAGCAGTTATAACCCACCAGCCACTTCTTGGAAACTCTATGGGCAGCTCTACTCTGTCCTATAGCGTAGCTCTGAGTTGGAATCGACTGGTCGGCTATGGGTTTTTTTAAACCCCCAGTAGTGCTTAGGATGTGGTAAGTGCTCAATAAGTAGTTAACTTAATGAATGGGCTTGCTAAATGAATTTGTCCCATTGCCCTTAGGCAGGTTTCGTTTTATTCCTTCCTGCAAGAGGAAAATGGCAGTACTACTTGTTGAACACATGCTAAGTGATAGCCAAACACTGTCAGGTAGCTCCTCCCCATACAGAAGCTATCTGGCGTCTCCCCCTCATTGTAAATTCTAAAGCACTTCCATGTGCATTGTTTCAAGTGAGGCTGGCAAGGAGTGTTAGACCCATTTTACAGATAGGCACAGAGAGATGAATTGCTTGCTTGTGTTTCTTTTGGGAACCGTGGATTCTAGCTGACGAAGGCTTCAGGGAATTTCTCCTTGTTACCTAGTTCTAGGCCTTGGGTAGGGATTCTTCTGTAGCTGTGTTGGGATGCACGGGAGCTGTTTTCCTCATTGAAGATTCTGTGTCTAATGATCTACTCACAGACTCTGTTCTTTGCAGGTACATGCCATGGAGGTGGATGTTGAGACGACGAAGGAGCTGGTGCGGAAGCCCTATGTGTTGAATGGTGGGTTTGGGCCACATGCCTCTAGGTCATCATCTTGCACTGTCAGAGCTGGAAAGGGTCCTCAGATGCACTTATTTTACAGATGGAGAAACCGAGGTTCAGAAGGGAGAAGTGAGCTGGTGCAGGGCTCACAGAGTTAGAACTGTGTTCCTCGCTTGGATATTTTCAGTCTACTGACTAAATTCAAGTGCGTAAAGTAAGGTTAGAGGGATGTCCAGGGAGGAGGTAGCCAGGTGCCTGAGGCTAGAGAAGAAATCACTGAGTCTCAGGCAGGTATTGAGCTTGTCATGAATTTAAGGATAAACTGATTTTAGAGATTTCACTGTCTCATTTAATCTTCCCAACTACAAATCTGTTTCATGTATGTTAAGGGTATAGAGGCTGAGTATTAAAACATAAGAAAGTAAACCCTGCAAGGAAGCAGGAATACTCTGGAATTCTCCATCCATCCTTCTCATTTCTTGCCAGGGATTTTCATTAGTTCTCTGGAAGGCAAAATGGTTTGAATGTCTAGGCATTTGATATAATCCCTTCTGTTCCTGTCTTTAGTCTATCTCAGTGGTTCTCATGAAAGTTACTCTACAGGATTATACATGTAGAACCATGTTTACTTATTATAGTCAAGGGTAATTTTGACTCTTAAGCAATTTTGGCACCCAATTTCTAGATAAGATTTGACAGTCTTATTTAATCGTCATTATAGTTCCATGAGGTAGCTCTTATTCTTCCTTCACAGATGAGAGATGAGAGATGAGATGCCCAGGTTACCCAGCTCTTTTCAAAGCGAAGCCACTGTTTTGCTCAATGGCCTACATTTTCCCTGCATGGAGCAGTGAGATGCCTGGGCCCTGCTCATGCCCCAGTCCCTGCAGCTCTTTTTCATTTTTTCAGACCTCTTTGTTTCATTTATTGACTTAACAAAAGAGGTTTTCAATCAGAGAGTTTTTGAGCTGGAAGGGATCCCTGCCTTGTGGTTTGAGAGTGTATCTTCATCTCCGTTCTCAGAACATGATGTGCTAAATAGAGGTTATTAGTTTGGTGCCCTTGTTTTACCCATCTGAGGCCCGGAGAGAGGTGACTGGCCTTTCAGTTAGTTGCCACACTGATAGATGATTGTACCATAGGAGGCAGAGCCTGGGATCTGAGGGGCTGGAAAGGAAGGTTCCAGTAGTGAATTTGGGGGTTGGGAGGCAAAGCCCACCAGGTGGCTAGAGTATCGGCTGGTGGCTTGGGATTGCATGAAGGGATGATTGGATAGCTCCGATAGTGCAGAGGCAAAGCCTCATTCCCTCTTCTGGCTTCTCTCACCCCAGACCTAGAGGCAGAAGCCAGCCTCCCAGAAAAGAAAGGAAATACCCTATCTCGGGACCTCATTGACTACGTATGCTACATGGTGGAGAACCATGGAGAGGACTATAAGGTGAGTGGCTTAGGCCTGGCAGGAAGAACCACTGGGGCTGGTGGTAAGACACTCTGGGCCATTCATGGCCTGGTCTTCTTAGCCTAGTGCCTGTTTTCCTGAGACTGAGTGGAAAGAAAGGGAGGAAAAGAGACTCTAGGAAGTGGATCCCATGGGCAGGGATCTAACGTTAATAGAATGCTCAGAGCAGGCATAGACTGAGTGGCCTGTGATCACTTCCCACTCACAGATAGGTTGTTTTGCTCACATGGGGAATTAGTTGCCATTTTAATTATGCCATTCAAATAAAGTCTGTTTTTGGCTTCTCTTAAAAAATTGAAGCTCCAGCTCACTGGGCCCTGTGCCCATGTTGGGGTTGACTGTGGAGCTTGAGCTCCTCAGCTGGCCCCTGCTCCTGCCTGGCTACTCACAGACCTCCCTGGTCCCAGAGGGCATCTGCACCTGTTTCTCCAGCCTCTCAGTACAGAGGGGCTTCGTATACACCATAGCTTGAGGTGAGGAATCTGAATCTTGGAGACAGGAAGTGGCTTGCCCAGAGGCAGAGCTAGGATTTGAAACCTTGTCTATCAAGCCCTCCTCAAGTATCCCTTCTCCCTTTTTAGGCTATGGCCCGGGATGAGAAGAATTACTATCAAGATACCCCAAAACAGATTCGCAATAAGATTAACGTCTATAAACGTTTTTACCCGGCCGAGTGGCAAGCCTTCATCGATTCTTTGCAGAAGAATAAGATGGAGGTTCAGTGACTGGTTTACGCTTATCCCCGGCTGACACCTCCTCCTGGACCACAGAAGCTGAAGCCCAGAGTTAAGGCAAGGAAGGCTGTGTGACTACCAGTGAGGCTGGCCAAACCCCATGGCATCAGAAGGTTATACACATTCCTGTTCCCTCTGGGGAGGTGGCTAATGCCAAGAACAGTCTCCCAAAGGCTCTCGTGTGTTTCTGAGGGCTCAGGGAAAAGCCAGAGCCTGCTGTTTACAAAGTAGGTGGTTTGCTTGTTTGAGTACAGTCTGTATATAATAAAACTAGGCTATTTTACTCTCTGATATCTTTGTATTTGCCCTTCCCAGCCAAGTCCTGAGGCTGCCCCAGGGTAGGGAGGCCATTCAGCCCCTCAGCTCTGCCATGCTCACATACCATCCTAGGCCCAGCCTCCCTCTTCTCCCCCACTCTTGGTTCCATGGCTGTCTGCCTTGGGTTCCTGCAGAACCGTTCTGTTAACCCTTCTATGTAAGCCTGCCAGGAACCCTGGGCTGCTTGGAAGGGTCTGGCCTTGCCAGTGCTAGCCCCATCCTTTGGCTGGGGGCTGGTGGACTGACTCCCTGTGGCCCTGGCTACCAGCACAGGGTCAGGAACTATACTGCTGCTCCTGGTCTACCTTCCCATTACCTGCCATTGCTGCTTTTCTGTGGACCATTGTGTTGGCCTTGGCCCAAAGAACCTGAGGTCCCCAGACTTCCCATCTGGAGTGTCTGGGGACCACTGAATATACTACCGTGTGCCAAACACTGGGGCACGCCGTGTGGCATGCTTTGTGGCCAGGCCAGCCCGATTCGGTGGCATGTGAGGAAGTGATGACTTATGTAGAGATCACGGCCAGCTTGTGGGGTGGGTGCTTCCATTTTCCTGAGTTTTGATACTTATCTCCAACTATTAATACAGAAACCCTCAATTCATTCCTAAGGCTTCTCCTAGAAGCACCTGTAATCTGTCTCTTCTCACTGTTCTTGAAAAGAAGGGCTTAGTCTTCTTACGTAGCTTATTCCATGTAGAACCCTGTAAGATGAATGGCTTTATCCTCATCTCACAGGAAAGGAAACCAAGACTTGAGAGGCTTGAAGCCAGGTTTAACAATGAAGCCTAGGCTCTTTGTTAGCGGTCCTCCCCTTTGGCCCCTGAAGGCAGTGCAGCCATAACCACACTATCAAGGCAAGCTGGAAACTGGGCAAGCTAGGCGAGTCCCAGAAGCCCTGCCTGGTTAGACCCCAGCCCTGTAGCCACTGTGAGCACAGCCTTTCAGACCTCACCTGAAGCAGAGCTCCCAGGAGCCTTGTAACTCATGTCCTCCACAAGATTCGAAACATATGTGATCTCACTTTCAGGCCTTTGACTAGGCTGCCCCTTACCTTTGTTTCCTCACACAGGTCAGGTGCCAACTTTCAGAAGCCTCCCTGACCACTATCCCCTGCCCCAGCCCATGTCAAGTGTCCTGTACTCCCCTTGCCCTGGACTTCTTGTAGCAATACTTACCACTATCCTAATGGCCTTTTAATGTGCTTGACATCCCCCACCAGACTGAGCTTGTGGGCAGGGACCTTACCTGGGAATCCAGGGAGCCTGGCTCAAAGCAGGTGTGGGGATGCCTGTGGGATGAATGATTACGTGGTTCCCTGACCCCCATCCTGACCTTTGGCATGGAGGCTGTCAGATTTCTTTGTTCATATTTCTAAGCCTGGCTCTGCCCTATCCCCCAATCAGCAAGAACTCCTCCCAAGGGATGGGGGAAGGGTTTGGACACCTCAAAAGATGTTGAGTTAGGCCAAAGCTGATGTTCCTTGCAGCCTCCTTCCCCCCACATGGTTGAAGGGTTGGGGGCTGGGACTTGGTGTTTGACATGACGAGTCACTGTGTTACAAGGAAGTGTTCTGGCACCACACTCCATAGCCGCTCCTCCCTGCACCCAGCACCTACTTCTCAAAATCAGATGAAACCACGTCAGAGTTTTTGGCATTTATTTTGTACCTCACATGTCCAGGGATACTCCCATTTTATGCAGTCTGTCCTTGGCAGCCCTGTGGTCTGGGTTCTCGGGATGGGCTGAGACAGCAAGGCCTCCTTACTTCTGGATCTTTGGTGGGATCCTCCTGCCCCTTAGTGGGCCCACCTCCCAGAGGCGGCAGACAAGAAGGTGTAGGTCCCCCTTTTCATCGCTACTAGAAGGGACTTTGTATTCAAAATAACCACTGACAGCTCTGGGGTGGGGAGCAGCTGCACAACGAAGGCCACAGGCTGGTTTCAGCAGCTGGTTTGAAATGCTGACAACTCCTACCCAGACTAGGTGTAAGAACAACAGTGTTTTCCAAAAGCAGGTGGAGATGCTTTGTGGGGAATCTGGTGTTTCACTGAGGCAGAAAGCTGGAGTTGTCACATTCTCCTCAGCACCTCTGCAGAGGACCATGAGGCCATGGAAGATTTCACCCTCCTCCAGTCCTTACAGCTGAACGCTGCTGCTACTGCAGCATAAGTTTAAAAAACCTGCAATTTCGAGCACCAAGAGAAACCAGAGGTGGCGTCTTGGGATGGGCAGCCAGTCCACCATGGCAGTCCTAGCAGCCGCAGGAGACCTCTTGCCCAGACCATCCAAACGTCCAAACTGGGTCAGGTTGGCCTCTCCTCAGGGATGGCAACAGGTCAGACAGGAAAATCAGAAGCCGTGGTTTCATTTAAATAACTTGAGAACAAAGGCCCTCGCCTACACCCTCAGTGCCAGGGTGAATAACAGGCACAAGTTCAACAGGTAAGTAGCCTACCCACCAGCAGATCCAGAACCGCACAGCCGTCTTCACTGAACTGTGCTGGTTCCCAAAAGCAGGTGGTCTGGGTTGCGGAATCAGAAAGGAATATCCAGGAGCCACTGGGTAAGAGTATCAGCAGGCCAGGCAGTGAGTTGAGGTTCTTGAGAAAGGCCTGTTCCCAACTTTTCCCCAATCCAGTCCTGGTCAGCAGCATCCTCGGCCTCTCCAGAGCAGACTGCAAGGTTACTTTGCCGGCGTGATGGGGGCCAGCAGCCCCACAAGAGAGCGGCTGGCAGCCACAGATGTGGTGAAGCAAACCACAAGCGGGAGAACGCCTATATTCTGTGTCACAGGGAGGGGTGGCACTGAGGACCTTTGGTGCAGCTTAGTGGTATTTGTCCTCCAGTGTTATTAAACCCAACCACTCAGAGGCATCTCTAATAAAAGTAAGCCAAAAGAGATCTTAATTAGAAAAAAAGGGCCCCTTCAACAATTACTGGTCCCAGAGGTAACCGTCAAGCCACTGGAGAATGAGGCGGTGGTAACAAAATAGTTTCTCACCTTTCCAATGACAAACTGAAAAGTCATAAAAAGCAAAATTGCAAACGTCACTTTAAAACCCACTCTTCTAATGAGCTTCCTTCTGGAGCTCCCTACCTCTTTCCCAGGTACCTCTTCTTGCACAGGCCGTAGTATGGAACTGGAGCATACTGGGTAAATGGCAAATGAAACAAAGGCACACAACCTTGATTCTCAAACCAAAAGCAAAAGGAGTTGGATATCTTCTCTAAGAAAAAAGTTTTCATTTGTGGCTATTGATTATTCAGTGGCCCCTGACAAACAGAAGGCTCCTTTTGCTGGCACTAAAGAGAAGTGTCAACAGGGACAGTCCTGAAACTGGCTGATCACGAAGGTACAGGAACGTCATGGAATGTGCTACTGTCCAACTCTGCTGGGAAGAAAGAGGTCCAGAAAGGCTGAGTGATGCGCCTGAGGCTGCCCTGCAGCTTGCTCTGCAACATCCCCACACGAAGGTTTCTTTTTCACTTGTATTCACATAATAGAAATGTCCTCTCCCGGGATCATCTGTTATCTATACAGAAGGGTTCTGCATCCTTCATACTGGGCCAAGGATGGAGTTTAAGTTCACTGGGGATCAATGTGAAGCATTACGATATCAGATTGCTCAAAGGCCAGGTGACAGGTGATGGGGGACCTACAGCTGTCTCATGATTCCAGCTATTTCCAAATTTTCCATGATAATCATCTGGGGTTTTGATTAACAGCACCGAAGAATAAAGCCTAGAACTCTGGCCTATACCTTTATAAATAAATAAATAAAATGCAGGTCTGAGGCAGACATCCAGCTCCCATGGACAGTCTTCTCCCGGGAATACGGGCACCTCCCTTCCCCAGACTCATGTAAACATGGACATTGGCACAGTTAGTGCTTAATGCGAGAGCAGCAGCTCCTGTCTCCAGATTAGGAAAGATAAAAACAGCCTTCTGTTTTTCTGACTGGTGGGTGAATGTCTCTTATTCTGTAGTCAAGAGAGGCTGGCAGGCCAGTCTTGGCTCAGGGGGAAGCAGGGAGGTCTTCAGAAAGCTCCTTGCTAGGATCTCCAGGTTTGTTCTAACACTTCTTATCTCTCAGAAATACAACTCCAAGTCAAAAGAAAAAAAAACCTACTGCCACTGAGTCAATTCCAACTCGTAGCAATGTTACAGGACAGAGTAGAACTGCCCCATAGGGTTTCCAAGGCTGAAATCTTTACGGAAGCAGACTGTCACATCTTTCTCCTGCGGAGCGGCTGGTGGGTTCAAATTGCCAATCTTTCAATCAGCAGCCAAGCACTTAACCACTGCACCACCAGGGCTCAGTCCAAGTCAGAAAAGACCATGGAAATCACCTCCCTTTAAAAATGATGGCCTCAGGTGTAGAAAGGCAGAGAGACTACACAAGGCCACAGCGAGTTAGGCAGAGCTGGGGCTGGAGTACAACGCAGAGCTGGGAGACAGGGCTCATGGGTGCTGCCCATAACCTGCCCACACGTCACCAGGAAGGAACAGTTGGGACCGGGAGACCTGGTGGCTCCTGGAGTACCTCTAACATCTATATGGTCCTTCCAACCCCAGGAATGCAGTGAGGCAAGGACAGAGCCTTGAGCGTCTCACTGTCCAGGTAAGAGAGGTGAGGTCTTCACTGTGGAAGGCTGGGTCACCATTCCAGTCTGGGATGAGCAGGACATGATCCTGTCCCACCCTCTGCCTTCCCTCCTCCCTCCCTGCTTCAGCCCCACAGCCACCTCTCCAGGAAGGCTTTCTGCAAGGTTTTTGGCCCTAACAAGCCCTTCCTGAGGGGAGGAGAGAAGGGAAGTGCTGCCGCGACTCCACCTCAGGCCCTGGGCAGCGATAAAGAAGCAAGAGCAGCAGCAGCAGCAGGACTGAGTCCAGGGTGGGGTGCCGAGCAGAGGGCTCCAGCCTAGGAGAGAAGCTCCAGGAGCAGCCTCCAGATGTGCACGGTGCCAGGCTCATTGAAGCCAGGCCCTGCAGGGGCAATGCTGGCCGCCAAGAGGAACACTTCGCGTTGGCTGTCAATGGCCTGCAGGCCCAGCTCCTGCTGCAGCTCCACCACGCTCATGGCCTCACTCAGGTCCTGGAGAAAGAGAGCAGCCAGTTGGAACAGGGCACCCATGTTTCCCAGAATGCTCCCACCCTCAGCATCCATAAAATAACTTGGGCTACCTGGGGAGCATCAGGTCCCAAGTCCCAGAATCAGCCTCTGGAACCCTTGGTCTAAACTTGATACTCTTCCCTCATCTGATTCTCCTTCGTACTGAGTTCTTGTCATCCATCATCAGGCAAGAAACCGGAGCACTTCCTGTATGTCAGGCACTGTGATGACAAAGCTTATGACCCTTAGAGGAATCCCACCTCAGTTCCCTAAAATCACCAGTGGGGAGATCTTACAATAGGGTCATGTCCCAGACAAGGGCCTTACTTCCCCCAGAATCTGGCTAAAGGGTCCACTATATAGCATGGCTGGTGATGGTACATTTTATATTCTAACCCTGGCCCAAGATTAAAATGACTCATCTTAGAACAATTCATAGAATGCTGGGACCTTTCATATGATCTCCTATTGGTTCAAAATTGTTTTAAGTTATAGTTTATAAACAGGATGATGATATAATTTATTGTCCAAACCAGGTACTGCTGAGACTCAGAGGGGACACTATTAATAGTGATAACAGAACAACAGCATAAATGGAACTGCCCTGGGCAAACAGGACACATGGTCACTGTATTTATAAATGATCATTAAGTCTTTCCTGATAGGCAGGGGAAACACCCAAGGTCAAACATGTACCACCTCTTCCTAAGCAGGTTGGAAAGGTCCCACAGCTCAGGTTCCAGGAGCTGTGACAGGGCTCTATACTGTGGCCGTCTCATGGGTGCTGAGAATACCACCTAAGGTCTGTGATGCTGAGGGCTGCAGGGCCCAGGGCAGCTCCTGACCCTGGCAGAGGTACAGTGTAGTGGTCAAGATCAAGAATTTGAGAAGATCCAAGCTCAAGTTCTGGCTTTGCCACAAACTTCCTCTAACTTTAGGTACTTCTCCAGGTCTCAATATTTGCAAAGCGGGGATAACAGCAGGGCCTATCACGGGCTTCTTGCAGGACTTAAATGAGATCATGATTGTCAAGTGCTTAGCACTGTGCCTGGCACACTGTAAGCATGCAGTAAGTGTTTGTTAATATTATTTAATCCGTTCTACTTCTCACCACTTCCCAGCGTTGGCTCTCTGGTCTACAGCCAGAAGTCACAAGGGCACAGCAGAGTGGAAGCCACAGGTTTTGGAGTTAGACATCTCCACTCCACAACTTCCAAGCTGTACAACCTCGGAGCTTCAGATTTCTCATTTTAAAATGGGAATACTATCCCACACCTTGTAGGATCAACAGAAACATTTGACACCACACTAGGCACATAAAAACCAACCAGCTGCCCTCCAGTCAATCCTGACTTATGGTCACCCTATGTGTGACAGAGTAAAACTGTGCTCCATAGGGTTTGCAAGGGCTAATTTCTTGGAAGTTGCCAGGCCTTTCTTCTGAGGCACCTCTGGGTGGACTTGAACCCCCAACCTAAACCATTTGTGTCACCCAGGGACTCGCCCACTTGGCACATAAAAACCAAAAACCAGACCCATTGCCATCAAGTCAATTCCAACTCATAGTGACCCTATAGGACAGAGTAGAACTGCCCCACAGAGTTCCCAGGGAGCATCTGGTGGATTCGAACTGCCGACCTTTTAGTTAGCAGCAGTAGCTCTTAACCACACCCCCAGTGTTTCCACTTGGCACACAGCAGGTGCTTAATAATGATTTTTTTCATCTCTGTAGGGTGACAAATGATAGAGAAAAAGAGAGGAAGGAAGACAGAGATCAGGGATGAAGGCAGAGCACAGGCAGAGGAGGTGGGGACAGTATCTGAGCCAGGCTTGCTAGGCCACGGGCCTGGGTCCCAACCTGAGTGCTCCCTGCCCTGCCCAGGCATCTGCAGATGGAGGCCCAGTTGGCCTGAGCCAGCCTCCCCACCGCCCTCACCTGCTTGTTGGCCACGACGACGACAGGCAGGTCAGGGTCCTTGTCCAGCAGCTTGTGCAGCTCCTGCCGGGCCCACTGCAGACGCAGCCGGTCAGCCGAGTCCACCAGGAACACCAGCACATCCACCTCGTTCACAAACTCTTTCCAGTAGAAGCGTAGGTTTTGGCTGCCACCAACTGTGGAGAGGCCAAGGGCCAGCTCAGACTGCCTTTGGCCCCGACTTGCCACATACAGCCCCACCCCACTTCCTGCTTCCTGAGGCGCCACCAGCCAGGGGCAAAGAAAAGACCACAGGTTGCAACACCAAGCAGACCTGGGTTCAGCCCTAGCTCTGCCTGCGGGGTCTCCTTGGACAAGTCTCTGCCTTCCAGTACCAGTCTCCTCCACACTGAACTCACCTAACAGGTTGCAGTAAAACCCAAGGGTACCATATGCAATGCACCCAGTTCTCTCTTCTTCCTTCCCTCCTGCCAATTCCTAGCTTTCGCCGGGTCAGTGATGGCTGTGATCAGAAACCAGAAGTCCCAATGCCTAGAAGTCAGGACCCCCACCACCTCCCCACCCCGCCTCTGCCCAGCCTTCCACTCATTCTCCCATTCTTTCTGGTCACCCCATTCTCTTTCCTTGGATACGCTGTGCTCAATGGCTGCACATATAGTGCCCTCAGACTGGGGTGCCTTCCTGTTCCTCTGTCTCTCTGGACAGTCTCTGTTGGTCGCCCTGCATCATAGTGTTTCTAGGTTCATCTCTGATACTTGTGGACTTTAAGCTCCTTGAGAGCTAGAGCTGTTTACCTCTGGATCCCCTAAAGCCCTCAGCACAGTGCCTGGCACACAGCAGGCACTCAACAAGTACTTACTGAGTGCTCACTAGGTGCCAAGCACTGACCTGGGTGCTGATGCAGAGGTGAGCAAGGCAGGCAGGGGCCCTGCTCTCAAGACACTCCCACCCCCATCAGGGTAGACGTGGCAAAGACACATAAACACCTTTCAGAAAGGAAGGAAAGAGAACAGAAAGAGTGAAAGTGGAGGGGGGTGGGGGGAGGCAGCTTTGGGGTGGGGGGTCTGGCAAGGTCTCCCCAATGAGATGGCATGGGAGCTGAGTCTGCGATGAGTAGGAACCAGCCATAGGAGGAGCATGACAGGCATGGGGAGAGAAAGCTGGGTGTGTTTGCGACACAGGAAGATGGCCAGGGTGGCTGAGGCACTGCCTGCAGGAGAAGGAGGGGTGCGACCAGCAAGGCTAAGCGTGGCTGTACTACACAGGGTGTGCAGGCCAGGGAGGTTGTGGGTTTTAAGTAAGAGTAACATGATATGACATGATTTCCTATAAGATCCCCTCTGGCTGACACTGGGGACAGAAATGGAAGCAGGCAGACCAGGGAGGAGTCTGTTGCTGTACTGAGGGGAGATGATGGTGAGCTTGGACCCGGGAGGCAATGGTGGAGACAGGGAGAAGCAGACAGACTCAGAATCTAGTGGAGGGTAAAGGTGATGGAACTAGTAATAAACTGGATATAGGATGCGGGGAGGGGAAGCATCACCAATGAGTGCTGAATTCATTTGTTCAGTTGTCAATTATCCACAAAGGGCCCAATCTCTGCCGGACCCCAGACGGGGCACTGTGGGGTGCCACAGTGAAGTGAATGTTGTGGGGAGGGGGAATGCCCCAGAACTTGACTGAATTATCTGAGTTTAAACCTGGCCGAGAGACCTATTGAACTTAGATTGTTACCTGTTAGGCCCTCGGGTAACACTAAAACATCAATCCCCTCCTCCCTGGGTTGAGGGGCGTGGCTACTGCCTGTGAGACTGAGAGGGCCTCAAGTAGAGAGGCCCCACTTGACCTGTGTCCCTAGTATAGAGAGGGTACCAGAGAAAGCTTGTTAAAAGAACCAGAATCCCAAGCAACTATCAATGTGTGCTCCAAGAAAGGAGGAAAGCAGCAGCCGCAGCCAGGCTAGCAGAAAGTGCTTGAGACCAGAGGTGTGGGCCCATGCAGGCCATCAGCCAGGTCCTCAAAACCTGATCTACCATTTAGCATCTAACTAAACCCAGCCAGTCTTTATGGGTCTGAGTCCTCTGAAGGGCAGGAAGTCTACCCGTCCCTGGCCAGAAAGAGCTAAATACTCATACCCTCTCAATACCCTCTGCCATTCTCCTCCAAGAGCCCAAGAAGCCCTAGGGCTGAGAGCTGCTCAGGCCATCCCTGATCACTCACAACAAGGCACCTATGTCTGGGGCCCTAGGGGCCAGAGATGGGTCAGACCTGTCTGTGCCCCAGGTGCCATGGCTTAGTCAGCTGGTATGTGGCAAATACTGAAGCAGGAGGCACAGGGGCTCGGGAGCCCAGCAGAGGAGCCCCTAACCTAGCCAGGGACGTCATGCTTAAATTAAACGTTGAAGGATGAGTAGGAGTTTACCACTGGAAGGGGACTTTCCAGGCTGAAGGAAGAATGCATACCAAAACCAAAAAAAAAACCAAACTCCTTGCCTTCCGACTTGGAGAAGAGCAATCACCCATTCAGTACAAGCAGTGCAGCACGGTGTTTAACAGGAAGGGCTTAGAGCCACAGGCCTGAACTTAAGACTGGCTCTACCCTTAGTAGCTGTATGATCTCGGATAAATGATTTAACTTGTTGGTCCCCAGTCTCCTCATGTATATAAACTCATCATTTCTTGTTTTACCCCGTCAAGTGCTTGGCACAGGGTACTTAACAGTGTTAGGTATGTAGGTTTCAGTAAGAGCTGGGGACAGGTGACCAAACTAGAGATGCACGATCATGAAGGGTCCTATATGCCAGTATAGAGAGCTTGGACCCTACACTGTGCCCCAGGGGGAGGTGGGAAGGGTTTCTCATACAGGTGTCTGTCCTACTTATATCTGCATTTTGGAGCCATCTCCAGGCAGAGAACCCAACTCTGGGGTCAGCAGAGGTGATGGGGGTGGGGTGGGAATCTGCTCACTCTCTAGCAGGTCCACCTCGAAGTCCTTGGTGGGCAGCCGCACGGAGTTGAAACCCCAGGTGGGGACATGGCCATCCAGGGGCGCCTTCCCAGATAGCACGCGCAGGAACGTGCTCTTCCCGGAGCCGTCCAGCCCCAGCACCAGCACCTCGCGCTGCTCCAGCTCCTCCAGCTCCTCCAGCGCCGGCTCCTCTTCCTCGAGCTGCAGGACAGAGGTCAGGCTGCGACGGGCAACCTCCCGCCCCGGCCCTTCCCAAGGGAAGAACGAAGGCACCAAATCGCCCATCCCGCCCTCCACCCATTAACGATCAGGCAGCACGGTCTGGTGGCGCGGGACGAGCACTCCCTTTGGAGTCCTGAATTCCAAACTACACTCTTCAGGGTTTTCCCTGAGTGACCTGGGGCAGATCCCCTCCCTTCCCACAGCCTCAGCGTCCTCAGACTGATAATCCCCACGTCCCAGGACGGCAGGGACGCGCGACTCTTTCGCACAAGGCCCCACGAGGAGGTGGAGGACTTCTCCCGGCATCCCCCGGGCCGTGCGCGTTGCGCAGGTGGCCGGCGGGGGCTGGCTGGACACGGTGCAGGCCCTAGGAGTGCTGCGAGGACGTGCCCTCCGAGCTCTCCCGCGCGCCAGAAGGCACCAGCAGGCAGGAGACCCTGAGTACTGCGGCGTCGTAGGGCGGAGCACACACACCCAAACGCGCTTACTCACTCCTCGGTTCCCGGACTTAAAGACTGTCTGCCCGCGCGGGGCCTGCAGTCTCCGGCGACCAGGCCCCGAGTTGGGTGCCCCTGGCGCTCGCAGGGACGCGGCCGCATCCCTCGGCCACACTCGCGGAGGTGCAGACCCTGGTCCACCCGCCCACTCAGCGGCCCCCGGCCCGGCACTCACGTCCCACTCGGGGAGGCGGGCAGGCTCCACGCCCCACCAGGCCTCGCTGTGGTCCCAGCGCTGCTCCCGGTCGCGGCCGAAGTAGGCCTTCCAGAGGATGAAGAGCACCGAGCCGAGCACGGCCGCGGCACCGCCCAGCGCTAGCACCAGGGTACCCAGCGGCCGCGGCGCCATGGGGCTGGACAAGGATTGCGGACTGCACAGGCTAAGCCTGCCCGCCGAAGATGGCCCCGCTGCGACTGTCGCGGCCGCGCCCACCTACCCATCCCCAGCCCCGCACTACAAGCCCCACAATGCACCGCCACTGTCGCCACAGGCCGCCCACGACCCCGCGGCGGGAGTGGAAGGTGCCGGCCAGCGTGCTGTGCGCCCCCCGACCTCGCCCCCCGCTGCCTTTGTAAGGTGCGGTGTGGATCACCGAGGCTGTGCAAAGAATGATGGAGGACGATAGACGGAATGATATTGGCTAGCATCTACCAAGCACTTGCTGTGTGCGAAGGGGGTTAACTCACGGCTTTTCTCGGTTACACTCTGGAACAATACCTCCAAGAAGAGGTAACAGACCCAAGAGTTAAGTAACCTGTGCAAGATCACGCAGTAGTGCATTGGTGCAGCGTGCATTCAGTCCCAAGTGATCTTTCTCCAGGATATCGCTCCACCCTGGGATGAGGTTCAGTCTTGCCCAAGATCACAGAGCTAGGGAGTGATAGGTTATGGAGTGGTGGGGTGGCAGAGCCAAGACTGGAACCCAAGTCCCTGACTCCCAGCCCCCTCTGCCACCCTTGGCTGCTTCCCAGACCCCAGGGGTTCTGCTCTCTTGGGGGCCTGCGCACACTGATGAAACAGGCAAGGCCAGGAGTCAGTTCAGACATGACCCTCTTGTACTGGTAGCCCCCCAATGATTGTCAGGACTTCCAGGTATAGCCCAAGAGGAGGAGCAGGAGAAACATCCTGAGGCATAGCAGTTGGGTTCCCTTAGCCTTGGAGAGGGTGAATCCGTGAATGGGGTGACAAAACCGTTTTGATTCTCCTGGAATTCAGATTTCTGGGTTCATGGAATTGGTGTGTGCCATCTAGGCCATCTGCCCTTAGGTGTCCTTTTGAACCTTGAGCCATTAAGGAACTGTTTTCCTAAAGTCACCTTCAAGTCAAACAATAACCTAGTAAACAGCTTGGCAGAGATGGTTTTGCCTTAGGCATTGGGCTCTTTTAGAGAATTATATATTCCAGGAGCAGGAACCCCAGGGTCTAACTGGAAAATGTATGGCATGTCCTTAGTGACTGTTTCTCCACTCCAACTGCCTGGAACCCTGCAGTGTTCTGATGCTATCTCCTGTGAAATTAACATGACAATGACCTATATAACCTGTCCTTACTGTCCCCTCTTCAGAGTGCCTTCCTGATAAGTTTGGGTTGATGATGATTGATTAGAATCATATCTACTGACAAAAAATACACTAATTTTTGGTGTTTCTCTTAAGAATTTAGGTTTTTGACAGGGGTAAATGGGTGAAAGAATAGCCTAAGGCCCCAACAGTGCCTACCATGGCCCCAGCATATCATCACTCCTCTCCAGGCTTTGAGAAAGAACCCTTTCAGCGCTGGGTTCCTCTGCACCCCTGGGCTCTGTGTTCCAGCTTCTACACACTCTCAGGATCCAGCCTCCTCTCCTCCCATCTTGACTTTTTACTCATATTGTTTTTCTTCCAGCATTGATTCTTCTTTTTTTTATTGCTATATTAACACTTTGGTGAGTGGGGATGTTACATGTAATTTATTTGGGAGATGATGCCAGGAGGGAGGAGGAGGGAATAGGGAAAATAGGACAGGGAGAAAGGAAAAACTAAAGAGTTCAGCATCAAGGACACTGCTGTAGACCCCCTGAGCTAAATTCTGGTGGAACCTCTGAGAAGGGTATCAAATGCCTCTCAGAAGGACAGGAGGCTGGAACATTTACCCACTAGCATGTTCCCCATTGGCTGAGGCTTGCCTCTGGGGGTGTACACTAACATTTGTTTATTGATGTGTTTTTATTGTAAGCCACCCTAAGCCATCCTATACAACCAGGTAGGACTAATGTAGATATAAATAAATTACAGAAACCCTCTCTCCCCTCTGGTCACCACCTCTCTCTCCTTTCTGCTACGGTTACACTTCTAGATAGAGTAGTATGCAGTTCCCACTCCTCGCTCCACAAAAACAGATCTCACCAGGGTCTCTAGCAAACCCCTTGGCAAATTCAGTGGAAACACCTCAGCCCTTATCTTGTTTGACTTCCTGCAATCATTTAACGCTGTTAAATTTTGTAGTATTAGCAGGTCAATGAATAACTCTCTCCCAGATTCAGAACCAATTGAGAAGACAGACAGAGGAGACAGCCAAATGAAGAGAAAAATGTCATCTTCATTGACCATAAAAGCTAGATTGGAGAAAGTGGCTTAGATATGGGGCCAAAATAGTCTTGCTAATACTTCCCCCTGAAACAAACAAGCTATCCACCCAGTCACTGGTACAACAAATCAAGCAAGTATTAAAAATATTTAACAATCTTTCTCAAACTCTTCCAAAAAATAGAAGAGGAAGGAAACTTCCTATCTCATTGTATGAGGTCAGCATTATCCTGATACTAAAAGCAGGTAAAGGCACCATGAGAAAACTAAAAACCAATATTCCTTATGAATATAGATGCAAAAATCCTCAACAAAACAGTATTGTCCTAGAGTAACCATCCATACTCTGATTAATGTAAAACTGAGAGATTTATTGAAAGAAAAGAGGCGGCTCGAGTTAGGAATAGACTGAACTCCATTCAGTAGAATCCACTAATCCAAAATGGCAACTCAGCAGTGATGTTTTATAGGAGGGGAACAATGGATATGAAACACGGTAATTGATTAGTAACTACTGGCTTGGCTCATCGAAAGACATTACTCGACTGGTAGTAGATTATTGTAAGGTAGGACTTCCTGTGGGAAGCTCTGTAAAGCAATTGGCTGAAGAGTATATACCTCTTTCTTAGATTGGTTACGGTGTGGCAATTACACAGGTATGTGACAGGGAGGGGTTGCATGTAGTTACACCGTCATTACCAGACATTCCTCTCTTAGAAACAGTACAGAAGATGGCTGCTGCTAGGGTGAAAACGAAACCAGCAAACAGGGAATCACACCCAGTCCTCAAACTGGCCATTTCAGATCTTATCAGATACTTCAGTTTTTTTTCTTTAATTCCCTTACGCAGTATAGAACCAAATCCAACACCATATTGAAAGGATTATATGCCATGACTAAATGGGACTTATCCTTGGAATGCAAGGGTAGTTCAACGTAAGAAAATTAATGTAATGCACCACATTAATAGAACAAAGGAAAAGAACCACATGATCATATCAACAGAAAAGGCATTTGACAAAATCCACCACATTTTCATGATAAAACCACTCAACAAACTAGGAATAGCAGGGAAATTTCTCAACCCAGTAAAGGACATTTACAAAAAAACCCATAGCTAACATCATACTCAACAATAAAAAACAGAAAGCTTTTCCCCTAACATCAGGAACAAGACAAGGATGCCCACCTTCATCACTGCTATTCAACATTGTACAAGACATTTTAGCCAGAGCAATTAGGTTAAAAAAAAAAAAAAAAAGTTATCCAAGTTGGAAAGAAGAAGTAAAACTATCTCTGTCTGCAGACAACATGATTCTATATATATAAAATCCCCAAATTTCCACAGGAAAACTACTATAGCTAATAAACGAATTAAGCGAAGTTGTAGAGTACAAGATCAACACACAAACATTAGTTGTGTTTCTATACACCAACAACGAAAAATCTGAAAAGGAAATTAAGAAAACAATTCCATTTACAATAGCATCTAAAAGAATGAAATACCTAGGTATAAATTTAATCAAGTAGGTTGTCTTAGTTGTATAGTGATGCTATAACAGAAATGGAGCCCTTGTGGTGCAGTGGTTAAGAGCTTGGCTGCTAACCAAAAGGTCAGCAGTTCAAATCCACCAAGCTGCTCCTTGGAAACCCTCTGGACAGTTCTACTCTGTCCTATCGGATTGCTATGAGTCGAAATTGACTCAGTGGCAAAGAGTTTAGTTTCTTCATTTTTATAACAGAAATACCACAAATGCGTAGCTTTAAGAAACAGAAATTTATTTTCTCACAGTTTAGGAGGTTAGAAATCTGAATTCAGGGTGCTGGCTCTAGAGGAAGACTTTTCTTCTCTGTAGGCTCTGGAGGAAGGTCTTTGTCTCTTTTGAGCTTCTGCTCCTGGGTGATCTCCATGTGTCTTCGCATCTATTTGATCCCATCTCTGCTCTGCTCACTTGCTTGTTTAACCTCTTTTATATCTCAAAAGAGGTTGACTCAAGACACACTCTACACTAATCCTGCCTAAGTAGCATTACAAAGACAACCCATTCCCAAATGGGATTATAATCACAGGCATAGAGGTTAGGATTTGCAACACATATTTTTTGGGGACATAATTCAATCCTTAACATTCTATCCTTTGCCCCCCAAAATTCATGTCCTTGCCACATGCAAAACACATTCACCCCATCACATCATCCCAGAAGTCTTAAATCAACTTAAGTCCAAAATCACATCTGAATCATCTAGATCAAATATGGGTGAGATTTTAGGTGTATTCCATCCTGGGGCAAAATTCCTCTTCATCTGTCAGCCTGTGAAAGCTAGACTACAAGTTACCTATTTCCAAAGCGCAAGAGTGGAACAGGCACAAGGTAGACATTTCCATTACAAATGGGAGAAACTGGAGGAAAAGAAGAGATAATTGGCACCTAGCAAGTCCAAAACCCGGCAAAACAATTTACATTAGTTCCCAGGGCATGAAAATAATCCTCTGTCTTTGGGACCATCTGGCTGGGCAATGGCCCTGCCCTCCAGACTCTGGGTGTCACTTCCTTTGCTGTAAAGCAGATCCCCTCGTCAGATGCTATACTGTATGGGATTTCATGCCTGTGGACCAGATATTCTGTAAGCCCACAAATAGTGGTGCTGGCTGAGAATTTGCAGGTAGGAAAGGCAAACCGACCCTTGGAATGGACATCTATCTCCATGAGGACAACCACTGGCCCAGAATGGAAGAGGTATGATGTAGTTAACATGCCACCAGTTAGTCTCCTCGAAGTATGGAATAATGCCGTATCAGAGATTCGGTGTTGGTCTCTGTTG